TTATTTATCAGTTTAAAATTTTAACGGTTTTCAGAAAAATCAAGTTTTTCACGGTAGCATCCCGAATCAGTTTTCGCAAAATAAGTATTTTATTTATTTATTCAGAAAAATTGCGAAACATTGCGTACTCTGATAGTAGTAAAAAAAAGTCGGGGTGTTACAAATGGTATCAGAGCACGTTTCTGCATCTCTGAAAGGTTTTCAGTCAGTAAATTTCAGAAAAACCTGAACCGTCATGCTCACGCCTCGCCGACTCCAGGTAAGTGCTGATTCAGTTTTCAGTTATAAACATATTACTTTGTCTATGCTCAGAAATCAGTAATCAGATTTAGTTAAGATGCTCGAATCAGATTCAGACTTTAGAGTTCAATATAACTATAGACTTCAGTATATTCAGATATGACTCTAGACTTCGGTATCGTTCGATATAACTCTAGAGTTCTTCAGGATTCATGTCAGTATTTGTCAGTCAGTTTTTGCAACTCGTCAAGAGATATGTGTGCCTTAGTAATCAGTCAGAGTATATTATCATGTGTTTAATAATGTTGAACTTTCTCAATGTTCAGATGCCGCCCCGTACGGAATCCGATCACCCGGCTCTTACTCAAGCTACAGTAGTCGCACTGTTTCGCGACTATCATGCTGAGAAATTCTCCGGGCAGGGAAATCCCCGTATCGTGGACGAGTTCATTCAGAACCTTAGAAAGGGATTAAGTTTGAGAACTCCAGATTCAATTCTAGATTTATTCAAGTCAAGTTAGCAACTTGTCAGGAGATTTGTAAGCACTTGTGTTAAACAAATCTTAATAATCATGTTTCTCAGATATTTCTATCGAAAACTGCCATTTTGCCAATCAATTGGCAGACTTTAGGGAGAAATTCCTTGATTTAATTCGAGGAATAGATTCAAATTTTTAAGTAAGATCAGTAAATCATGTTCAAGGCAAAAATTTTCATGTTAAAGGTTGTTATAATTCTCAAGTCATTGTTAAGGTAACGGTTTCAAATGTATAAGAGTCAATAGTCCAGGTTATCATGGAGGCTTGAAATAATAGCCATTCAGCCGGGTAGACCATGGAGGCTTGAAGCTGAAACCGAAGCAGTATGATTTCATGTAACAACAACCTTTCAAGTCAGTCATGTCAGATATTTTATCAGTCATGATATTTCAAGTTATGATTTTCAAGATCAAGATCAGCTAATTACTTTGTACTTGCAGGACCAGTTGATACTGGAGCAGCCCTATATAGTACAGAGTTAAAAATTCATATTTACGATTTACAGTTTACGTTCATGATGTAAGTTCGACGTATAATAGTTGTTCAGCCGGGCTAAATATGGCGGTCTGATATACAGACCATTAGTCCAAATTTACCTGGAAACTTGAAGTCGTACCTTATCAAGTCAAGTAAGTC